AATTCTGTATCACCAATACCTATCTGACCTACTGCTTTCTCTGCAGTGACTTGACAGACACGAACCGCACCCGGCGCATCTGAACCGTCACTCGAAGGACAATCAATTCACTGCCAACATCATCACCTCACTCACTCTGGTTGGCGAGATATCACTCACTCAATTCTGTATCACCAATACCTATCTGACCTACTGCTTTCTCTGCAGTGACTTGACAGACACGAACCGCACTCGGCGCATCTGAACCGTCACTCGAAGGGCAATCAATTCACTGCCAACATCATCACCTCACTCACTCTGATTGGCGAGATATCACTCACTCAATTCGTCAAGTAAATGAGTCATACATTCATACAGACAATTCGCGCTACTAGACCAATCAGATGAGCCCTTGATTGGTACACCTATTCGCGTTAACGTTTGCTACAGCATTCTCACAGTTCTCCCTGAAACTGCTGTCCCTCAAAGGGGCCAGTGATAAGAGGCACGTCAGGCAGCGGTCTATTGTACTCGTCCGCAGGTGTCATCCGTGTGCTCACTTTGCTGTCATAGCTGAGAACGGCACGCCTTGACGTTGTCACCCCTTCCCTTCATCGTGTGATTCCCCTCCATTACATGCGCCTCTCGATTCATCGACTCATGGGCCTGCATGCATCCCAACAGACCGAAAACTGGGTCTCCCTTTACGAGTGAGGCAGCGAGATGAAAGAACACGTTGCACTCCAGGAGATGCATGGACGGTTTGTATATGTCCAGCCATTTCAACCTGCAATCGCGAAAAAAGGACGTTCATGGACAGAGACACTGAAATTCATCCGTTCACGTCTCTCCGCCGCGGCGGCAGCGGGCTGCTGAGGCTGAGGCGGAGCATCAAGCATATGGTCGGATGTGTCGGGCTGAATGTCGGGCAAGAGAGGGAGGTATGGGGGAGGCATCGGTATGTTTTCGGGAAAAAATGGTGGCGGAGGGGCGAGTGGGGGGAACAGCGGTCCGTGTTCGCCGGGCGAAGGGACGATTGGTGGCAGTATTGCATGGCCGACCGCTTGCAATGCAGGAGGCGGTGGAGGGGGGGCTGGTGCCGCTGCTGCTGCTGCTGCTGCAGCTGCTGCAGGTGGAGAACCTCTCGCCCTTCCTGCAGCCTGACGATTCCCCGGTCCTCTCACTCGCAGTAGGGACTGGCCTCGACGGTCTCTGCCATCCAAACGTGGCGGCAATCCAAGGGCACTTCGCCAGTCTTCAGCCTCTTCCCGCCTGTCCATATCAAACATGAGTTATCTGTCAACTCACAGCAGAGAAAGCAGTAGGTCAGATAGGTATTGGTGGTACAGAATTGAGTGAGTGATATCTCGCCAACCAGAGTGAGTGAGGTGATGATGTTGGCAATGAATTGATTGCCCTTCGAGCGACGGTTCAGATGCGCCGAGTGCGGTTCGTGTCTGTCAAGTCACTGCAGAGAAAGCAGTAGGTCAGATAGGTATTGGTGATACAGAATTGAGTGAGTGATATCTCGCCAACCAGAGTGAGTGAGG